CATAGTCTTGAGCCATGGCAGTTAAAGTGGTGCCAAGCCGGGTTATTTCTGCAGTGTGGATGCAGCCATGATTGGGCTCCCCATCGATTTGTAGAGGTGCTGGTGAGTTCTTGCTGCAACCTGGAAACCAAGGGCCAGGGGGTTGTTCCTGCCGGGGGTCTCAGCCTCTGCAGTGGAAGGCTACGATGAATGGGCAAAAAGGGGGTCCTGCTGTGGGCTGGTGGGGTTTGACTCTTAGATTATAAATCTAGGGACCAGGGTTCAAATTCCCAGCTCGGCCATGAAACCCACTGGCTGACCTTGGGCAAGTCACACTCTCAGCCTCAGAGGATTGCAATGGCAAACCTCTTCTGAACAAATCTTGCCAAGGAAACCCCATGATAAGGTTCATCTTAGGGTCGCCCTAAGTTGGAAATGAATTGAAGACACAACAACAACAGCAACAACAAACCAGAATCCCCATGGCTATTGCTTATGCTATGCAGTCCACTTTTCCCACTCAACTAACTTTTCCTCTCTCGACTTAGGGCCTTTGCAGACTGCCAGAAATAGTGCAAATTGAGTCCACTTTAAGGTTTAGGATTAGGGTTAGGGAATCATGGGAACTGTAGTTTATTGTGGCACCAGAGCTCTCTGACAGAGAAAGCTCAATGTCTCAGAGGAAAAAAACAAAAACATTTCCCATGATTCCCTAGCACTAACCCTAACCCTTAAAGTGGACTCAATTTGCACTATTTCTGGCAGTCTGCAAAGGCCCTTAGTTCAAATCCCAACTCAGATTTTTATTGAGAACCAGCATGGTGTGATGGTTTGAGTATTGGCCTAGGACTCGAAACCAGGGTTCAGACCCTGGCTCAGCCATGGAAACCCACTGGGTTACCTTGGACAAGTCACATACTCTCAGCCTCAGAGGAAGGCAATGGCAATGGCAAACTTCCTCTGAATAAATCTTGCTAAGAAACTCCGATTATAGGGTTGCTTTAGGGTCACCATAAATTGGAAACTACTTGAAGGCACACAACAACAACATCAAACTGCCACAGGAAGGAAGGCAAAAGTGAGGAGAAAGGGGGTGCATGGAAGGTCCTGACTCAACAGTATGGAGCCTTTTTGCACAGGGGGATTAAGTATGGAAGCCTTGGGGTCCTTTCCTGCCACACAGTTTATAGCACTATGATTCCACTTTAACTGCCATGGCCACATCCTGTGGAGTCCTGGGGTTTGTAGTTTGCTCAGAGGCACCAGAGGTGCTCCCAGGCAAACATTGCTAAATGCTTCTTAAACTGAAATATGGTGCTGTAATTGTGTGGTGTGAATGGGTCCTTCCATTCTGTGCCCTTGACAGGCCAAATTATGGCCATTAATAGTCAAAGAAACCAATTCTGCTTTCCTTAGCAAAGCTACTTCAAATGCATCTGAGAAAGTAAATTGAAGAGCCTTTGCAGACTGCCAGAAATAGTGCAAACTGAGTCCATTTTAACTGCCCTGACTCAGTGCTAGGGAATCATGGGAACTGTAGTTTATTGTGGCACCAGAGCTCTCTGACAGAGAAGGTTCAGTGTCTCAGAAAAAAATACAATTCCCATGATTCCCTAGCACTGAGTCAGGGCAGTTAAAGTGGACTCAGTTTGCACTATTTCTAGCAGTATGCAAAGGCCCTGAAATCTACGAAAGCTCATGCTGCCAACTGCTTTCTTTCGGTTAGTCTCAAAGGTGCTACAAAATCTCTCTACATACCAGAGTTACTTCAGTGAGTCTTGGAAGACCTTGGACAGTCTCAACACAACCATAATCTTGTGCACATTTTGCCAGTGACAGGATTGAGCAG